TGTGTGGTGGATGTGGGAGGTAGGCCTGTGTCAGCTAGATGTGGGAGGAAGGCCTGTGTCCGCTAGATGTGGGAGGAAGGCCTGTGTGTGGTGGATGTGGGAGGAAGACCTGTGTCAGCTAGATGTTGGAGGAAGGCCTGTGTGTGGTGGATGTAGGAGGAAGGCCTGTGTGTGGTGGATGTGGGATGAAGACCTGTGTGTGGTGGATGTGGGAGGAAGGCCTGTGTGTGGTGGATGTGGGAGGAAGGCCTGTGTGTGGTGGATGTGGGAGGAAGGCCTGTGTGTGGGGGATGTGGGAGGAAGGCCTGTGTGTGGTGGATGTGGGAGGAAGGCCTGTGTGTGTTGGATGTGGGAGGAAGGCCTGTGTGTGGTGGATGTGGGAGGAAGGCCTGTGTGTGGTGGAAGTTGGAGGAAGGCCTCTGTGTGGTGGATGTGGGAGGAAGGCCTGTGTGTGGTGGATGTGGGAGGAAGGCCAGTTTGTGGTGGATGTTGGAGGAAGGCCTCTGTGTGGTGGATGTGGGAGGAAGACCTGTGTGTGGTGGATGTGGGAGGAAGGCCTGTGTGTGGTGGATGTGGGAGGAAGGCCTGTGTGTGGTGGATGTGGGAGGAAGGCCTGTGTGTGGTGGATATTGGAGGAAGGCCAGTGTGTGGTGGATGCGGGAGGAAGGCCTGTGTGTGGTGGATGTGGGAGGAAGGCCCGTGTGTGGTGGATGTAGGAGGAAGGCCCGTGTGTGGTGGATGTAGGAGGAAGACCTGTGTGTGGTGGATGTTGGAGGAAGGCCTCTGTGTGGTGGATGTGGGAGGAAGACCTGTGTGTGGTGGATGTGGGAGGAAGGCCTGTGTGTGGTGGATGTGGGAGGAAGGCCCGTGTGTCGTAGATGTGGGAGGAAGGCCTGTGTGTGGTGGATGTGGGAGGAAGGCCTGTGTGTGGTGGATGTGGGAGGAAGACCTGTGTGTGGTGGATGTGGGAGGAAGACCTGTGTGTGGTGGATGTTGGAGGAAGGCCTCTGTGTGGTGGATGTGGGAGGAAGACCTGTGTGTGGTGGATGTGGGAGGAAGGCCTGTGTGTGGTGGATGTGGGAGGAAGGCCCGTGTGTGGTGGATGTGGGAGGAAGGCCTGTGTGTGGTGGATGTGGGAGGAAGACCTGTGTGTGGTGGATGTTGGAGGAAGGCCTCTGTGTGGTGGATGTGGGAGGAAGACCTGTGTGTGGTGGATGTGGGAGGAAGGCCTGTGTGTGGTGGATGTAGGAGGAAGGCCTGTGTGTGGTAGATGTGGGAGGAAGGCCTGTGTGTGGTGGATGTGGGAGGAAGGCCTGTGTGTGGTGGATATTGGAGGAAGGCCAGTGTGTGGTGGATGCGGGAGGAAGGCCTGTGTGTGGTGGATGTGGGAGGAAGGCCCGTGTGTGGTGGATGTAGGAGGAAGGCCCGTGTGTGGTGGATGTGGGAGGAAGGCCTGTGTTAGCTAGATGTGGGAGGAAGGCCTGTGTGGGGTAGATGTGGGAGGAAGGCCTGTGAGTGGTGGATGTGGGAGGAAAGCCCGTGTGTGGTGGATGTGGGAGGAAGGCCTATGTGTGGTGGATGTGGGAGGAAGGCCTGTGTGTGGTGGATGTGGGAGGAAGGCCTGTGTCAGCTAGATGTGGGAGGAAGGCCTGTGTGGGGAAGATGTGGGAGGAAGGCCTGTGAGTGGTGGATGTGGGAGGAAGGCCCGTGTGTCCTGGATGTGGGAGGAAGGCCTATGTGTGGTGGATGTGGGAGGAAGACCTGTGTCACCTAGATGTGGGATGAAGACCTGTGTGTGGTGGATGTGGGTTGAGGGCCTATGTGTGGTGGATGTGGGAGGAAGACCTGTGTCAGCTAGATGTGGGATGAAGACCTGTGTGTGGTGGATGTAGGAGGAAGGCCTATGTGTGGTGGATGTGGGAGGAAGACCTGTGTCAGCTAGATGTGGGATGAAGAGCTGTGTGTGGTGGATGTGGGAGGAAGGCCTGTGTGTGGTGGATGTGGGAGGAAGGCCTGTGTGTGGTGGATGTGGGAGGAAGGCCTATGTGTGGTGGATGTGGGAGGAAGGCCTGTGTGTGGTGGATGTGGGAGGAAGGCCTATGTGTGGTGGATGTGGGAGGAAGGCCCGTGTGTGGTGGATGTAGGAGGAAGGCCTGTGTGTGGTGGATGTGGGAGGAAGGCCTGTGTGTGGTGGATGTGGGAGGAAGGCCTGTGTGTGGTGGATGTGGGAGGAAGGCCCGTGTGTGGTGGATGTGGGAGGAAGGCCTGTGTGTGGTGGATGTGGGAGGAAGGCCTATGTGTGGTGGATGTGGGAGGAAGGCCCGTGTGTGGTGGATGTGGGAGGAAGGCCTGTGTCAGCTAGATGTGGGAGGAAGGCCTGTGTGTGGTGGATGTGGGAGGAAGGCCTATGTGTGGTGGATGTGGGAGGAAGGCCCGTGTGTGGTGGATGTAGGAGGAAGGCCTGTGTGTGGTGGATGTACGAGGAAGGCCTGTGTGTGGTGGATGTGGGAGGAAGGCCTGTGTGTGGTGGATGTGGGAGGAAGGCCTGTGTGTGGTGGATGTGGGAGGAAGGCCTGTGTGTGGTGGATGTGGGAGGAAGGCCTGTGTGTGGTGGATGTGGGAGGAAGGCCCGTGTGTGGTGGATGTGGGAGGAAGGCCTGTGTGTGGTGGATGTGTGAGGAAGGCCTATGTGTGGTGGATGTGGGAGGAAGGCCCGTGTGTGGTGGATGTTGGAGGAAGGCCTGTGTCAGCTAGATGTGGGAGGAAGGCCTGTGTGTTGTGGATGTGGGAGGAAGGCCTGTGTGTGGTGGATGTGGGAGGAAGGCCTATGTGTGGTGGATGTGGGAGGAAGGCCCGTGTGTGGTGGATGTAGGAGGAAGGCCTGTGTGTGGTGGATGTACGAGGAAGGCCTGTGTGTGGTGGATGTGGGAGGAAGGCCTGTGTGTGGTGGATGTGGGAGGAAGGCCTGTGTCAGTTAGACGTGGGAGGAAGGCCTGTGTGTGGTGGATGTGGGAGGAAGGCCTGTGTCAGCTAGACGTGGGAGGAAGGCCTGTGTGTGGTGGATGTACGAGGAAGGCGTGTGTGTGGTGGATGTGGGAGGAAGGCCTGTGTGTGGTGGATGTGGGAGGAAGGCCTGTGTCAGCTAGACGTGGGAGGAAGGCCTGTGTGTGGTGGATGTGGGAGGAAGGCCTGTGTCAGCTAGACGTGGGAGGAAGGCCCGTGTGTGGTGGATGTGGGAGGAAGGCCTGTGTGTGGTGGATGTAGGAGGAAGGCCCGTGTGTGGTGGATGTGGGAGGAAGGCCTGTGTGTGGTGGATGTAGGAGGAAGGCCTGTGTCAGCTAGGTGTGGGAGGAAGGCCAGTGTGGGGAAGATGTGGGAGGAAGGCCTGTGAGTGGTGGATGTGGGAGGAAGGCCCGTGTGTCCTGGATGTGGGAGGAAGGCCTATGTGTGGTGGATGTGGGAGGAAGACCTGTGTCAGCTAGATGTGGGATGAAGACCTGTGTGTGGTGGATGTGGGAGGAAGGCCTATGTGTGGTGGATGTGGGAGGAAGACCTGTGTCAGCTAGATGTGGGATGAAGACCTGTGTGTGGTGGATGTAGGAGGAAGGCCTATGTGTGGTGGATGTGGGAGGAAGACTTGTGTCAGCTAGATGTGGGATGAAGACCTGTGTGTGGTGGATGTGGGAGGAAGGCCTGTGTGTGGTGGATGTGGGAGGAAGGCCTGTGTGTGGTGGATGTGGGAGGAAGGCCTATGTGTGGTGGATGTTGGAGGAAGGCCTGTGTGTGGTGGATGTAGGAGGAAGGCCTGTGTGTGGTGGATGTGGGAGGAAGGCCTGTGTGTGGTGGATGTGGGAGGAAGGCCTGTGTGTGGTGGATGTGGGAGGAAGGCCCGTGTGTGGTGGATGTGGGAGGAAGGCCTGTGTGTGGTGGATGTGGGAGGAAGGCCTATGTGTGGTGGATGTGGGAGGAAGGCCCGTGTGTGGTGGATGTGGGAGGAAGGCCTGTGTCTGCTAGATGTGGGAGGAAGGCCTGTGTGTGGTGGATGTGGGAGGAAGGCCTGTGTGTGGTGGATGTGAGAGGAAGGCCTATGTGTGGTGGATGTGGGAGGAAGGCCCGTGTGTGGTGGATGTAGGAGGAAGGCCTGTGTGTGGTGGATGTACGAGGAAGGCCTGTGTGTGGTGGATGTGGGAGGAAAGCCTGTGTGTGGTGGATGTGGGAAGAAGGCCTGTGTCAGCTAGACGTGGGAGGAAGGCCTGTGTGTGGTAGATGTGGGAGGAAGGCCTGTGTCAGCTAGACGTGGGAGGAAGGCCTGTGTGTGGTGGATGTACGAGGAAGGTCTGTGTGTGGTGGATGTGGGAGGAAGGCCTGTGTGTGGTGGATGTGGGAGGAAGGCCTGTGTCAGCTAGACGTGGGAGGAAGGCCTGTGTGTGGTGGATGTGGGAGGAAGGCCTGTGTCAGCTAGACGTAGGAGGAAGGCCCGTGTGTGGTGGATGTAGGAGGAAGGCCCGTGTGAGGTGGATGTGGGAGGAAGGCCTGTGTGTGGTGGATGTAGGAGGAAGGCCCGTGTGTGGTGGATGTGGGAGGAAGGCCTGTGTGTGGTGGATGTAGGAGGAAGGCCTGTGTGTGGTGGATGTGGGAGGAAGGCCTGTGTTAGCTAGACGTGGGAGGAAGACCTGTGTGTGGTGGATGTGTGTTTAGTTGATGTGGAAGGAAGGCCTGTGTGGTGTGTGTGTGGTGGTGGGGGGTGGGGGGCTGGGGTGGAAGGCATGTGTATGGTGGATGTTGCCCAGTTGGTGAAATCAGGTATGTGCTGACAGACGAAGAAACACCTCTGTCCTCTGTTCCCTATGTGCTCCTCTGTCCCGTATGTGTCCTCTGTCCCGTATGTGTCCTCTGTGTCCTCTGTCCCCTATGTGGTCCTCTGTCCCCTATGTGTCCTCTGTCCCCTATGTGCCCTCTGTCCTCTATGTGACCTCTGTCCTCTATGTGTCCTCTGTCCCCTACATGTGCTCTGTTCCCTCTGTGGTCTTCTGTCCCCTACATGTGCTCTGTTCCCTCTGTGGTCTTCTGTCCCCTATGTGTGTTCTGTCCCCTATGTGGTCTTCTGTTCCTATGTGTCCTCTGTCCCCTATGTGTCCTCTGTCCCCTATGTGTCCTCTGTCCCCTATGTGTCCTCTGTCCCCTATGTGTCCTATGTTCCTATGTGTCCTCTGTCCCGTATGTGTCCTCTGTCCCCTATGTGTCCTATGTCCCCTATGTGTCTTCTGTCCCCTATGTGGTCCTCTGTCCCCTATGTGTCCTCTGTCCCCTATGTGTCCTTTGTCCCCTATGTGTCCTCTGTCCCCATGTGTCCTCTGTCCCCTATGTGTCTTCTGTCCCCTATGTGTCCTCTGTCCCCTATGTGTCCTCTGTCCCCTATGTTTGCTCTGTGTCTCTTCTGAGTCCCTTCTATGCGTCTCTTCCAAGAGTTCCTTCCGTGAGTTCCTTCCGTGAGTCACTTCCGTGTGTCGATCCCTGAGTCCATCTGTGAGTCCCTTCCGTGAGTCCCTTCTGTGAGGCCCTTCTGTGCGTCTCTTCTGTGAGACCCTTCTGTGCGTCTCTTCTGTGAGTCCCTTCTGTGAGTCTCTCTGTGAGTCAATTCTGTGAGTCCCTTCTGTGAGTCCCTTCTGTGCGGCTCTTCTGTGAGTTCCTTCTGTGAGTCCCTTCTGTGAGTCTCTCTGTGAGTCCCTTCTGTGAGTCCCTTCTGTGAGTTCCTTCTGTGAGTCTCTCTGTGACTCCCTTCTGTGAGTCTCTCTGTGAGTCCCTTCTGTGCGTCTCTTCTGTGAGTCCCTTCTGTGAGTCCCTTCTATGAGTCCCTTCTGTGAGTCCCTTCTGTGAGTCTCTCTGTGAGTCCCTTCTGTGAGTCTCTCTGTGAGTCCCTTCTGTGAGTCCCTTCTGCGCGTCTCTTCTGTGAGTCCCTTCTGTGAGACCCTTTTGTGCGTCTCTTCTGTGAGTCCCTTCTGTGAGTCCCTTCTGTGAGTCTCTGTGAGTCCCTTCAGTGCGTCCCTTCTGTGAGTCCCTTCTGTGAGTCCCTTCTGTGAGACCCTTCTGTGCGTCTCTTCTGTGAGTCCCTTCTGTGAGTCTCTCTGTGAGTCCCTTCTGTGCGTCTCTTCTGTGAGTCCCTTCTGTGAGTCCCTTCTGTGAGACCCTTCTTTGCGTCTCTTCTGTGAGTCCCTTCTGTGAGTCCCTTCTGTGAGACCCTTCTGTGCGTATCTTCTGTGAGTCCCTTCTGTGAGTCTCTCTGTGAGTGCCTTCTGTGAGTCTCTCTGTGAGTCCCTTCTGTGAGTCCCTTCTGTGAGTCCCTTCTGTGAGTCCCTTCTGTGAGTCCCTTCTGTGCGGCTCTTCTGTGATTTCCTTCTGTGAGTCTCTCTGTGACTCCCTTCTGTGAGTCTCTCTGTGAGTCCCTTCTGTGAGTCCCTTCTGTGAGTCTCTTCTGTGAGTCCCTTCTGTGAGTCCCTTCTGTGCGGCTCTTCTGCGAGTTCCTTCTGTGAGTCCCTTCTGTGAGTCTCTTCTGTGAGTCCCTTCTGTGCGGCTCTTCTGTGAGTCCCTTCTGTGAGACCCTTCTGTGCGTCTCTTCTGTGAGACCCTTCTGTGCGTCTCTTCTGTGAGTCCCTTCTGTGAGTCCCTTCTGTGAGACCCATCTGTGCGTCTCTTCTGTGAGTCCCTTCTGTGAGTCCCTTCTGTGAGTCTCTCTGTGAGTCCCTTCTGTGAGTCTCTCTGTGAGTCTCTTCTGTGAGTCCCTTCTGTGAGTCCCTTCTGTGCGGCTCTTCTGTGAGTTCCTTCTGTGAGTACTTTCTGTGAATCTCTCTGTGATTCCCTTCTGTGAGTCCCTTCTGTGCGGCTCTTCTGTGAGTTGCTTCTGTGAGTCCCTTCTGTGAATCTCTCTGTGACTCCCTTCTGTGAGTCCCTTCTGTGAGTCTCTCTGTGAGTCTCTCTGTGAGTCCCTTCTGTGAGTCTCTCTGTGAGTCAATTCTGTGAGTCCCTTCTGTGAGTCTCTTCTGTGAGTCCCTTCTGTGAGTCCCTTCTGTGCGGCTCTTCTGTGAGTTCCTTCTGTGAGTCCCTTCTGTGAGTCTCTTCTGTGAGTCCCTTCTGTGAGTCCCTTCTGTGCGGCTCTTCTGTGAGTTCCTTCTGTGAGTCCCTTCCGTGAGTCCCTTCTGTGAGACCCTTCTGTGCGTCTCTTCTGTGAGTCCCATCCGTGAGTCCCTTCTGTGAGACCCTTCTGTGCGTCTCTTCTGTGAGACCCTTCTGTGCGTCTCTTCTGTGAGTCCCTTCTGTGAGTCCCTTCTGTGAGACCCTTCTGTGCGTCTCTTCTGTGAGTCCCTTCTGTGAGTCCCTTCTGTGAGTCCCTTCTGTGAGTCTCTCTGTGAGTCCCTTCTGGGAGTCTCTCTGTGACTCCCTTCTGTGAGTCTCTCTGTGAGTCCCTTCTGGGAGCCTCTCTGTGAGTCCCTTCTGAAAGTCTCTCTGTGAGTCCCTTCTGGGAGTCTCTCTGTGAGTCCCTTCGGTGAGTCTATTCTTTTACCTTTGTATCCCCTATTTGTCCAATGTTCTGTGTGACCCATAATTGCGTGGATCGATGCCCATTTTGTCAATCACTGGATTGTCTGGTTCATCCCTTGTTTCGTTTCTTATTGAGGCCAGCAGTGTATTTGTAATAAACCGGTGCCAGGACTTATGATAACAAAATGTTCCCTTTAAAATATTATTTACAAACTTTTAAAACTGTTTGTTGTGTAGAAGTCTTTATTTGTACCAAGGCCACTGGCCCATATACAATACATACATTTGAAATAGTGTGGTACATGAAAAAAGGTAATGTCAGGTACAAATTTACAGGTTTACAGGCTTTTCATAATTACGTCTTCTTTCATAGCTGTAATACAGGTATTTACATGGTTTTCCAAGTAATTGTTTACACGAAGATGACAGTAGCGTTTTAAATTTATGCATATTTGGATTATTGCAAAATGTTGTTGGTAAATACAGATGTCTAATATCGTTGTAATATTCACATTCTAAAGTAAAATGATATTCATTCTCTATACCTGTTTCACATATGGGGCAGAGTCGTAAACGTAAGTCAATATCAGCCCATCTACCTTCGTTTACCTTAAGTCTTAGTAGCCCGGCTCTGAGCCTTATCAAAACATTTCGATATTTTATTTCAGTAATAATGGAAAGGTATTTTTCTGGTTCCAGGAGACTTTTAAATTCTTTATACAGAATGTACCTAGAACTAGCCTTGATACTACTATTCCATGATTGGTAGAACATATTTATCAAAACGTTTTTAAAACTATTCATGAATGATGGTTTGTCGCCAACAGCTGGACTGAGCCAAACTACTCCGAATCCGTGAGAAAATAATATGGAACGAATAGAAGAAGCATAGTTACGACGACCACACTTGTCGTTATATACAAGCATATTATAAGATTTTCTTGGTATCCTATCTTCGTCCATTTCAATCAGTTTTAGCCAATACTTTACTGAACGACACATAGCATTTACATGTAGTGGGTACCGACCGCATTCCCCATACACAATAGCATTTGGGGTTTGCAAACCAACGTTAAGAAACTTCTTACAAGCCATAATATGCACTTGTTCTATTTTTTCAAATCTGTCTACACCCCATATTTCCGCACCATATAAAAGAATAGGTTGAATCTGAGTATCAAATATTTTAAAGAAAACTGAAGTGTCAACAAAATCAATCTTCCGTAGATTGCGAAATATTTCCATTAAAGCTCGTTTACCCCTTGATGCTAGATCTGAAACACATTGGTTCATCTTTGATGTATATGAGAATACAAACCCAAGATATCTATAGGAGTTGGCGGTTGAAATACGTTTGCCTTTATAGAACCATTTCTCATGAACAGATAACCGCCCTCCTCGTCTAAATACAACAACACTCTTTTAATCTAAATTAACCGTTAATCCATGTGAATCTGCAAAGTTATCAAGAATATTAAGTTGGTTCTGTAAACCAGTTACTGTGTCAGAGACAAGAATAACATCGTCGGCAAACAATAATAATAATATTTCAAACAAGTCAGGAAATAATTGTACACCGTGTTTCCCATGTGATGAAACATCATTTGACAGTTCATTGATGAAAAAGGAAAATAATAGAGGGCTTAATATACAGCCTTGTTTAACTCCGTTAAGACAATCAAAATATTCTGTATAAATGTTATCATTACATCTCACACACGCTTTCACGGAGGCATAGATTCCCTTAAGTGCTCTCATCATCTTTCCACCCAAGCCTACATCGTGCAGACACTCCCATAGTTTAAGATGATTTACTGAATCAAACGCTTTTTTAAAATCCACAAAAGCAACGTATAATTTCCCTTTTCTTTTCGATAAACATTTGTTAACAATTGCATTCAACGTGAATATGTGGTCAGCGCAGGAGAATATCCCTGTCTAAAGCCTGCTTGTGTCTCGGGTAATTTACTTCTTATATTAGCCCAGTTTGTAAGTCTAGAGTTTAAGACACTTGTGTAAACCTTACTAATTGTACACAATAGAGATATCCCTCTAAAGTTATCTGGATTATTTTTGTTACCTTTCTTATGTAGTGGAAGGATAATAGCTTTCGTCTAGTTCTGAGGGAATAATCCAGAATCAAATAACTTATTGAACAAATTTCGTAGGAAAGGAGTTATTACATTTTCACAACATTTTAACATTTCAATGACCACGTCATCAACACCAGGGGATTTGCCATTCTTTAAACGATTTATAGCCTTGTGGATTTCTGAGTCGGTAATCGGCGACTCCAAAATACACTGGTCAATCTCATCAAGTGTAAAATCTTCATCACATTGACATTCGACTTCAGCATGTAATACATCTGTACACTGAAAAACGTTTGTAAAATTGGTTTGCAAATTATCAAGACCCCGACAACTAAGTCACGTGTTATCAGTGTCACGTCTATCTTTAGCTTGGGAAAACCAGGTTTGGTGTATTTTTAGTTCTGGACTTTCCGATGGGGTGGCGTTATATGTTGCAGGATGAGACGAAAAGGTTATCACAAGATTAATTATGTTTTCTTCTACTACATAAAACGTTACAGTGTAACTGTAATATCATTTAAACACCCCAGTGGTGAGTGTGTCAGACATACAGACACATATGATAATTCATATATTTGTTGTCAGGACAAATACCACCAAATATGAAGGTGTTAATCGTCACTGCTGAATGCAAATAACTATACTCAACAACAGAAGTTCCTGTGACACCAATATTTTAGTGTAGGTTTCAAACAAGTAAAGTTTGGTTTTCAATATTGTAGTACATGTATGGAATGAAGACACAAAAACGCAACTGCTACAGCAAAGCCCCATGCATTCCATGCAAAAGTTGACTTTTATGCAAGCCCCATGCATTTCACTACCCAAGAATGGGTATAAAAACACGTGCGTTAACGGGTTCCATATGCATTGTTTAGCATCGTGCTGACAACAACCACTCAGAAAAACAACAAAATTACGCAGTTATTCAACATTACGAAATGCCACGCCTGTCTGAAAATGAACGTCTGCGAGCCATTGGTATTTCTAAAGCAGGATCGAGTTAAGTTGTTGTCGCAAGACAATTTAACGTCCACAGAAACATCATTTGGTGTTTATGGCAACGTTGGCAACAGAAAAATGCAGTCAGAGACCATCCTCGGAGTGGCAGGCCAAGCGTAACCAATAATCGACAAGACAACTGGATTCGAACAACACACCTACGAAATCGATTCCAGCCAGCAACAGTGACTGCAAGAAGCATCCCTGGCCTTCGACGAATATCTTCACAAACCGTACGTCGTCGCCTCAGATGTGCAGGGATTGTCGCCAGAAGACCCGCCAGATTTCCAATTTTGACAGGAAACCACCGCCAAGCACGTCTACTGTGGTGCAGACAGTGTCTACGCTGGACGGCCATGCAGTGGGGACAAGTTCTATTCACTGACGAGTCTCGTTTTAACCTCAGTCACAGCGATGGACGGATTCGAGTGTACCGACGTCGAGGTGAACGTTACGTCAATCATTGTGTCATGGAAGAAGATCGGTTAGGGGGCGGCAGCGTTATGGTATGGGGTGGGATTACAGCAAGACAGAGGATCCGTTTGATAGTGGTAGAGGGAAATCTCAATGGACAGCGCTACCGCGACGAGATCATCGGCCATGTTGTTCTACCGTTTTTGCGTTGTCATGGCCCAGGTATTACCTTTCAACATGACATATTGCTCGACTTGTTCAGGATTCTCGTGTTCACGTGTTCTACAGACACTCCAGGAACTTCGAAACATGCTCCAGCAGATATGGACAGATTTCCCACAGGAACTTTGTGCGACGCCTGGTCCATTCCATGAGACGAAGATATGTTTCTTGAATCGCAACCAAGGGGAACACACACGCTATTGATTTGTATTGAATTGACATTTTGGCATGTTCATGTTTTTTTATGAAATCATGCATTTTCTGAAGTCACTACTGCAAATTAAATCATTTGAACACAGGAGTCTTTCATCTGTTGCAAACCGAAATCGTTTCAGATTTGGTAAAAAACATAACTTTGCATTAATTCTTATTCAATGTCACAGGAAGTTTTGTTGTTCAGTATATGTGTGTTCCCTGTGTGGCCTCGGGTTGTTCTTTCTGTGTGTTCTCGCTTTTTCTGTGTGTTCTCGGTTTGTTCACGGTTTGTTCTGTGTGTTCACGGTTTGTTCTGTGTGCTCACGGTTTGTTCTGTGTGCTCACGGTTTGTTCTGTTTGTTCTCGGTTTGTTCTCGTGTTGTCCTATGTGTTCTCGTGTTGTCCTATGTGTTCTCGTGTTGTTCTGTGAGTTCTCATCTTGTTCTATGTGTTCACGCTTGTTCTGTGTTCTCGGTTTGTTCTGTGTGTTCACGGTTTGTAAACGGGTTGTTCTGTGTGTTCTCGTGTTGTTCTGTGTGTTCTATGTGTTCTCGGTTTCCACTGTGTATTCACGGTTTGTTCTGTGTGTTCACGGTCTCCTCTGTGTGTTCACGGTTTCCTCTGTGTGTTCACGGTTTGTTCTGTGTGTTCACGGTTTCCTGTGTTCACGGTCTCCTCTGTGTTCACGGTTTGTTCTGTGTTCACGGTTTTATCTATTTGTTCACGGTTTTATCTATTTGTTCACGGTTTGTTCTGTGTGTTCACGGTTTATTCTGGGTGTTCACGGTTTATTCTGGGTGTTCACGGTTTCCTCTGTGTGTTCACGGTTTGTTCTGTGTGTTCACGGTTTGTTGTGTTCACGGTTTGATGTATTTGTTCACGGTTAGTTCTGTGTTCATGGTTTCCTCTGTGTGTTAGCGGTTCGTTTTGTGTGTTCTCGGTTTGTTCTGTGTGTTCTCGGTTTGTTCTGTGTGTTCTCGGTTTGTTCTGTGTGTTCTTGTGTTGTTCTGTGTGTTCTCGTGTTCTAGGCTTCCTCTGTGTGTTCTCGGTTTGTTCTGTGTGTTCACGGTCTCCTCTGTGTGTTCACGGTCTCCTCTGTGTGTTCACGGTTTGTTTTGTGTGTTCACGGTCCCCTGTGTGTGTTCTCGGTTTGTTCTCTGTGTTCACGGTTTCCTCTGTGTGTTCACGGTTTGTTCTGTGTGTTCACGGTTTGTTCTGGGTGTTGACGGTCTCCTGTTTGTTCACGGTTTGTTCTGTGTGTTCACGGTTTGTTCTGTGTTCACGGATTGTTCTGTGTGTTCACGGTCTCCTCTGTTTGTTCACGGTTTGTTCTGTGTGTTCTCGGTTTGTTCTGTGCACACGGTTTGTTCTGTGTGTTCACGGTCTCCTCTGTGTGTTCACGGTTTGCTCTGTGTGTGCACGGTTTGTTCTGTGTGTTCACGGTTTGTTCTGTGTTCACGGTTTGTTCTGTGTTCACGGTTTGTTCTGTGTGTTCACGGTCTCCTCTGTGTGTTCACGGTTTGCTCTGTGTGTTCACGGTTTCCTCTGTGTGCACGGTTTGTTCTGTGTGTTCACGGTTTGTTCTGTGTGTTCACGGTTTGTTCTGTGTTCACGGTTTGTTCTGTGTGTTCACGGTTTGTTCTGTGTTCACGGTTTGTTCTGTGTGTTCACGGTTTGCTTTGTGTGTTCACGGTTTCCTCTGTGTGCACGGTTTGTTCTGTGTGTTCACGGTTTGTTCTGTGTGTTCACGGTTTGATCTATTTGTTCTCGGTTTGTTCTGTTTGTTCTGGGTGTTCACGGTTTTCTCTGTTTGTTACATTTTGGCTGGACGAACGAGTCTATGCATAGTCAAATCAAAATCGCGCACCGAAATCGAAATCCGGTTCGTAAAGTGTCATGCAGATTTCAGTCGACTGCATGATTTGCAAAGCATGTGCACCGCTCGTTGTCAACAAATATTTTCCAAATCTTTTCATGCTTTTGATCAAGGTTCTCACGTGATTTGATGCACTTCGCGATGTAAGACTCGTTTTATCACCATATAGATCTTGATTATCAATCAGATCGTCCTGACTGGGCGCCACCGTTTTGTTTGAAGCAAATGCAAGTGATACGAGAGGTTGAATCTGATTGGTCAATAGGAGAGGCATAGCAAGGACATAACTCGTAATAGCCACTGGTTGCGCTACGATCAAGCCTAGGAATTCCAGCCTAGTTCGGCAAGGGTGGAAACTGGACTTTTAAAGTCAGTTAATTCTCTTGCCTCAGGAGGATGGTTGACATTACGCGACTGCCACTTCCTTTGTGCACGCTGTCCATGTGGATTCGATGTGTGTACATGCAGCCCTGACATATCTTAATATTATCTAACTAGCGTGTTCGGGTGGTCAGGCTCGCTGACTTGGTTGATGCACGTCATCGAGTCTCATTTGCGTAGATCTATGCTCATGATATCAGTCACTTGATTGTCTGATTTCAGATTTGATTATTTACAGACCGCCTTCATATAGCTGGAATACTGCTGGGTGCGGCGTTAAACAAAAAAAAAAAAAAATGTTATCTGAATGTTCAGACGTGGGTCAGAAATTCAACTTTGACCGTAATGAACGCTGGGGAGAAAAGTTCACCGCTCAGAATATCAGTAGAGTACAACACTGACCAGTTTCAGTTTCATAGCAGTAACTGAACATCTATGTTGCTGCAAATTTCATTCCAACTTTAGTTTAAAAATATACACCGGCTAGCACTACCGCACCACACACCAACGCACCTGATCCCATACCACTCACTCACTCACTCACTCACGGCAGACAACCAAGTCATGGTCTAGAAGTCTATTCACACAGTGATTTTGGTGAACCAAAAATATATGTTGATAATGAATTACGTCTGCTGCGTACTATGTACACGTTCAGAGATTATGCTACTTATAAGAGAAGACAACAACAATGTTTAAGAAATATATTCGTAATGCATCACAGAAGGGGATGTTATAATTTCTCTGTATTCACAAGGTCGTCAGGTTACAGTGTGGGAATCCCGAGAGGAAGCATAAATAATAAGCAAGGACATACAACATGGCATAAAAAAGGTAAGGCGAAATATAAAAAATAACACTTATATGCAATGTATTGTGACAAAATGTTTGTAATAAATTATAAAACCAGAATCATTTCAATAATATGTGAAGACGCTTCAAAAAGGCCAAATCAAGTATGTCATCAACAATATTCAAAGGGACATAGGCTTCATCAATTAAAACCATCATTTTGTACAGGTTAGATTAGGGGTGCAGTTATAACATTATTTCCAAATGAATTTCAGCAAAGACAAACAGAAAACCTGCATCAAAACTGGCATGCTTCAATGGAATTATCTACACAATGTAGATATGTCCAGTACAATTCTACATAGAAACACAGAACATTTCAAACAAATAACATTCCAGATATATATTACAAGGTGTATATGTAATAATTTCGGTTTAAATATGGAACCAGGAAGACACAGTTACACCAACTAAGATGAACGATTTTGCGATTTCTGTTTGTCCGAAAACTGTGAATATAAGATGAATACCACGATATGCCACTATAAGAAGCAAGTATCTCTCATTTGGAGCCAAGCGGACTGTATATGAAAATCATCATAATCTTAGCGACAAAAACCTTTCCACAGACAAAAGAAATCTGTGTTACAAGCAGAGTCGAATGTATGATTCCGACTGTATCATGAGCATGAGTTTATGAATCACCCCCAAATAGTGATGATACCAGGTGTTCGCTGAAAGGTGAGCGTATCCTGCCTCACCGGTGGCATCCGTCGACAACACATGCAAAGGCAAGTCAATTTGTTGACAAACACGGGAACATATGGTGTCAAAAGAGAGAGTTATACACATACGAGTAATATTTGCCACTGATGCGTAAAATTTGGAAATGTCCTCCACATGTCTACCCTAAAGTTTTATTGAGGCCTTGAATGTTGTAACCCGGATCAAACAAGTTTCCAGCAAGAGTGTATATGACGCTCTTTGAAATCTTGGTAGAAAAAGCATGCTCGAAATAACTTGGGCCTTCCTCTCATCAGTTTCCGCATGTCTTGCACACAACTTGAAGCATATTCGATTGTACCTCAAAAGTTGCGAAATGTGGACATCAATCCTGGAGCGGTTGGAATACTGCGCGACATAATAGGAACGCTGACTTTTGGAAAGTTACATATAAAGCGAAGAAACCCTTTCCATATCCAATAGAAATATCTGCATAAAGCAGAGTCGATTGTACGATCCGACTACATCATGAGCATGTGCTTATCATTCACTATCAAATATGATGATACCAGGTGTTCGCGAAAAGGTGAGCGTATCCTGCCCAACCGGTGGCACCCGTCACAAACACATGCAAAGGGAAGTCAATTGCAATGAAGGGAACATGTGGTACAAGTAAAAATAGGGAATTGCATCGGACATCATGTTTGTCACTGATTCTTAAAATTTCGAAATGTCCTCCACATAAAACCTCTACCATAAAACTTTTTGAACGCTTCACTGTGGCCTTGAATGTTATAACCTTGAAGAAACAACCTCTGAGCAAGAGTTGTATGACGCTCTTTGAAATATTAGCAGAAACAGCATGCTCGATTGTACCTAAAAAGTTGTGAAATGTAAACATCGAAGGTTGTACCTGATGGAATATTGCTCGACATGAAGGGAAAGTTGACTATTGGAAAGTTGAAGTCATCTGACTTGTCATACAGTCTTGTGGAGAGTGTTTTGTCACTATGAATCTTTATGCATGGATCTAAATATTGTGACGGATGAGGCGGCCTCACTGGTCTCCTTCTTTCTAGTTCAGGTGGGTAAATCAGTAGATGGGAATTGGCTATTTATTTGTAATTATCCCTCTTGTCACACGGTCTTGTGGAGAACCTTTTGTCACTCTGAATCTGTCACTGGTCTGTTATTTCTAACACAATGGAGTAAATGAGTGTGAATTGTCTATTTGAGAATATGTTGTAACCCAATCCGAGTACGTACACGTATATAAACCCGCGGTTTTCGGAACGAGACGGCATAAATATTTCCCTTCGGTTTGGGGGTGAAATCAGTGTCATCTGAAAAATCTGACATTCTGGCAATATCTGAGTCTTTGTCAACCTCCATATCTTCTTCGGTAAGGGTCTCAGTGTTTGCTGTACACACACACCCTTGCATTAGAGCTTCAGCTTTCCATTTTATATCAAAATATAGATCTGGATATTTCTTTTTCAATGCACGAGCAAACGGTTTCGGTTTTCGCATTTTTATAAGTCTTCCCCACTTATCCTCGTGACTGAGGGAGGCTGAAGCTAAATCCTCATATGTTTGGACACTTATAGCGTTGCATTCCATGAGTGCGTCTGCCAATCGTCGGAGATTTACCTTGTCCTTCATCTTACAATATGAACAGATGTATTTGTTTTTTCCAACTGTTTCATAGTGTGCCATTGCGTCTTCCATGTCGCACGCCAACTGATGGTTTGTGGAATCGTTGCTTTCTTTCATTGCTGGGATAACCGCTGACTTAAATTTTGAAGGTGACAATTCATTACAAAACTTCCAAAAGGAACAATTTTGTTTCTGGTTGCCAGAGGAGGCAATGATACTGGCCCTACCGGCTTCTGATAGGCCATCTTGTTGTTCAAGAAGTTTATCAAGGAGTGATGTCCCTTCAAGTCTCAAATCTCGAGTAAGTGGTTGCCAGAGTTGTTTGATGGCTCTCCCGTGGACATCTTCCATTGCAGACATCCCGGAAACGTCACCTATTAAGACGAAAATGTTAAGATCATTCAGACATTAGTTTTTGCGTATACTTATGATGTATTTATGAGAATGATGTCAACATGTTTTTGCGTTTTGTTATATGACAGAGTATTTTATTGCTAAACAATGATTGTAACTGTGTTAACATTATTTCTTTTGAGATTCGATAGACGCTCTTTGCATTTGGTTTGGGCAGTGACCAGTCGTAAGACAGTTCGGGTGATATTATGTTATAGAAACATATGGATAGTTCTGTAATGTTCTAGCGCTGCTAGACCGGTGTGGGAACGGTATAGATTTAGTGTATATATAGTGAGTGAGTGGGGTTTTAACGCAGCTTTTAACAGTATTACAGTTATATCATCGCTATTAGGTGTCAGCTTAATGTGGGAAGAAAACCCGAAGTGATGCAGGTTTCAGACGTTTACCACTTCGGTGAAACCCAGGAGCCACGGGCAGGTGCTGCAGATACATAATCGGGGCGAACCGGGATTCGGACCCACAGTCATAGGTATATATAGTGGGACAAGAGCGTGTTTTCGTATCTCTCACACATTTCATCTGTCACGCATTTCATAACTTTGAAACCAGCTTTCATGTGAGGATCGCTCATCAGCCCTGTTTCCCTGCCGTGCCCATCTCGGAAGCTTGACCATTCCCACCGCTGGGTGAATATATGTTATTAACACTGACTTTTGCTATCACCACTGTATTATTTGACACACCAATTCTGGAGCGGTTGCAATACTGCGCGACATAATAGGAATGCTGACTTTTGGAAAGTTACATATAAAGCGAAGAAACCCTTTCCATGTCCAATAGAATTCACTGCATAAAGAAAAATCGATTGTACAATTCCGACTACATCATGAGCATGTGCTTATCAATCACTATCAAATATGATGATACCAGGTGTTCGCGAAAAGCTGAGCGTATCCTGCCCAACCGGTGGCACCCGTCACCAACACATGCAAACGGAAGTCATTTGCAATGAAGGGAACATGTGGTACAAGTCAAAATAGGGAATTGCATCGGACATCATGTTTGTCACTGATTCTTAAAATGTGGCCTTGAATGTTGTAACCTTGAAAAAACAACTTCTGAGCAAGAGTTGTATACGTATGACGCTCTTTGAAATATTAGCAGAAACAGCATGCTCGATTGTACCTAAAATGTTGTGAAATGTAAACAACGAAGGTTGTAGCTGATGGAATATTGCTCGACATGAAGGGAAAGTTGACTTTTGGAAAGTTGAAGTCATCCCTCTTGGCATACAGACTTGTGGAGAGTGTTTTGTCTCTATGAATCTTTATGCATGGATCTAAATATAAAACAGTTACGGCCTTACTTTTCACTTTCTTTCTAGTTCAGGTGGGTAAATCAGTAGATGGGAACGAGACAGATATTTGATACAGACCACTGCCATCAAGTTATACATGGCCATTGGATATGGTACTACCACTTTATTGTGTACAGCAATTGTTATTGCTGTGCAGTAGTTTGTATTGATTTGTATACCTAGTTCATTTTTGTAATACAATTGTTGATTTATACCACAAATTTCTGGGTTAACATATTGTCTCAATTTGGGAATCGAAACGTCACAATATTTACTTTTCTCTCCTTTTGTGCCTAGCTGCAGGATTCTCTGCCTGAAACTCTGCGTCAAGAAATCATCCATGTGAGTCAACTGCATCTTGAGGTGCTCCTGGGTCACTTCAGCATCCATCTGAGAACGTGTCATGTCGACCAATCTCTCCGTATGCTGTTTCAAACTGTTAATAAAACTCTCTTTTAAAGCAAGTCTTTGGTCTTTGGGAATATTCTTGTCGACGCCTGCTTTCTTTACAACATCTTCTGCGATGAAGGACATGTACTTATCGTATTTTGATGACGCCATGACTTCTGAAACAAAATATCCATGGCAGTTTAGACAGACAAGTGTTCAACGTCATTTCTGCTTTCGTTTGGAAATAAAGTTTTGAACTAGCTGGTTATGATTATCTGATTATGATGGATACCCTGGACCCGTTCATCAACATTCCGTCTGTTCAAGTCCGGTTAGAAAATCTGCCAATATAAATGTTGATGTGTGAACGCTCATTCTGAACAGTTATTTTGATGGGTTGTTGATTTTAAGTTCAAGCGAGAGAAAATTATGTTCCAAGTTGTTGCTGAGAGAGATGGAGATTCTGTTGTCACACTGAAGCGATTGAAGACATAATGCCCTTGATAATCGAGGATGACCATTGACTGCGCGTTAGACAACCTGCCCATTTCCATTCATCTACTTCTAGGGATCATAAACGATTGTGTAATGTTGCCTTCTGATCAATAAAAAGAATACCACTATTAGCTCTACCATTGAAAAAAACAAAAAAAGATTAAAATATACACTCATTGCGGGATAAATGACATTGATAGGTGTTGAGAATTAACTGTTACTTGAATGAAAGGGGGGTAACTCTTGTATCTGTCTGTTACAGTTGGCTTATTCACCCACCTTAAAAAAATACAAAAACAGATTTTAGTACCGAAAAAATGCAATAAATATTTTCATTAAATATTTTTTCACCTCAGTACACAATAAGAATTACTTTGAATAATAAGAAAGCATTGTTTTATGAAAAATGAAAGACACCAAACTCTGCCCAAAGAAGTCCATGGTCCACCACTGTATGGAGCTCAGGGGCGTCAGCTACACCAAAATATGATATTTCCTTACAACTATTAATGAATGACTTAGTCTTCATTACACAGTGGCCTCAGAAGAATAGTATTTAGAGTTATATCCCCTTACTTTCTTGACAACTTATTGTATAGCAGTTCATGCCTAACGCACCTAAAATGAACTCACCATTTGGAAAATTATGCAGATAATGTAGGACTTTAAATCATACCTTCAACACACAGTATGGATATTTTGATCTACCAAACCTAATAAAATAAAGTTACCATGGCTCATCAATTTGTGCATCCTCTCACCAAACCAGTTACCACAAAGTGCATTTTTTTAATATAAAACTGATGCGCAAATATTAAGAGTGTATTTTAACATATTAATTTTCATAATTATCATAAAATAGAAAGTAATAAACTCGAAGTGTTTCAGAGTGGTTTCAAGAGTGATAAAAGAATATCCATATCACTTTTCACTGCGGTTTATGTAACTGTTATTACTTTATGTCTATACATCACATGTATGTTTCTAATGTTGGGCATAACATTTCAACATATGTTTGAAGAAAATGGCAATCAATTTACAGTGCATTTAGCATTTACTTAACTATTCATATGCCTGTGTTTCACAGAATACTTCCAATGAAATGATTTGTTTGTTTGCTGTTTAACGCCGCACTCCGCAATATTCCAGCTATATGGTGCTGGCCTCTGAATACTCAAGTTTGGACCAGACAATCCTGTGATTAACATCATGAACATCGATCTACGCATTTTGGATAATGACAGGTACCAACCATGTCAGCGAGCCAGGCCACCCAATCTCGTTAGTAGCCTCTGACGAGCATGGGTTGCTGTAGATCAACTTTAACCTGGATTTGATATTACCATGACAACTTGATATATATATTGGTAATCATCTAGTCATCAAAAGACAGTGAACATGCATGTTTTAAATTTTGTACATGTTTACACAGTGTTTAGTTTTTGCAGAATTATGTCTAGATCTACATCTTTTATCATGACATCATTTCTGTGAATCGAATCTGCGTTCTCAACTTGATGACGTCATATAGTGGATGACATTATTTTTTAGAGGGAAGTATCCAGTGGGTTGTTCCCTATAGATGTAGCTGTGCCACACAGATAAAGGCAGTGGCAGAACGATCACACCCACATGTGGGAGACATATATGATAATCAGTATTAGGAGAATTGGTACAGATAATCGACGTGAGCATTGCGAGAATATGCTGGAAATACCAAATTTTACCCTGCACTTGTTCGTAACATGGACAAGTTTCCTTTTCTGTTTGCCATGACAATCTGATTGTTAATGGAGTGGTAAGTGCATGTTCATATCTTCTGAATTATTTATAATTAACACATATATTTTTTAAAAACCTGCATATTTCACTATTAAATACATCCCTGTATTTATGATGTTATTCACTAAACATCCATATCATAATAAATTAAGTGACTTTGTATGATATTCAGTATGTACGTACCAAATACACACTTTTGCTTTTTCTATTTTCTTATGACTAAAAACTGTATGTACCGGTATACCTATTAATACTTATAAAGGTACTATTTCGGACAACGTTAAAAGAGAGAATACCAGAAAAATTATTCATAGACACTACAGGTACGGGACCAGTTGGTACACAGTTTTGAAGTTTGCACGAGAATGGTCAAACAAGCCCGAAACAAAAACAAAGAAATTTCGAATTATATAATATCACAGCATGAACAGTTTCATAAACCTCAGTGTTAATTTTAACTAATTTGTTTCTAGTGCTCAATGCAAATGTTTTCAACCGAAATGCAAACACATTTCGATCCCGGAATGGTCATAACTGCACCTAAAATAAATGTATTATTATACATCTAAACTAATATTTTATATCACTATTACATTATCAAATGGTTACAAATCAATGCAAAACTTACTGGGTATCTGCTACTCATATATTAGGCACTCCACATCATATTTTGACCACATGCTGAATGTGTATTCGTCTCGTGCGATCCGTGTTGACACTTCATTTATACCCGTGCAAAATAATACCGGGCATGTCATTTCCGGTTCGTTTTATTCTTTAAATTAAAGCCGTTATTATTTACACATCCAAAAAAATCAATGTTGCGTGCGATCTTCCCGTTTTATTACAGGTGTATTTATTAAATGCCTTTATCTTCAAGATTGTCTCCATGATAGTTTTCTGACGTACCGACATGGAGAAATAAATCATAAATACACAACGGTTAAACTACATGGTCATGAAGTTACACCTTCGGAAGTGTAAAAATATTTACTTTTTTTCATCTAATTAAAATCAGTGTAAACCGTAAGAATAATTCCGCCTGGGATAAGAAGTTGAGCTGATGTGAATGATCGATCAGCACAAACGGCAGCCATTACAGCCGAGTCGGGATCGGACGTGGGATGGGCACTCTGCGTCTGGATCCTACTGACATTAACTGGATACTTGGATATGCTGTTTTCGTGATAATTATGTTAAGTATTGCTATTATTGGTTATTCTACCATGAATTTGGAATTTACTCGAATCTGATTGGTCAATCAGAGGCTATTAAATCACAATAAACCCCCTCTGATTGAAACAGCTGGTTTGACGGCCGCATCACCGCGGAAGCTAATATTCATAGAACAGTACTATTTTCAGTCATTGTCGGTAGGCATATTTAAATAATTATATCTACAATTACAGGTTACAAAATGCACAGATGCGGTTACTGCAATATTCAAAAGATGTGTGGCAATACATTTCGTGCAGAAAAACACGACAGAAATCAACAAAGGGAATGTATTTACGTTTTGGAGACAACAGAGAGCTTGGAATTTTGGCGCTTTTCTATATACGACTGTGACGTCATATTTTTTGCGTCACAAGTAGCGATATGACGTCATAATGGTGACGCGCGATGTATAGCGAAAGCCTTGCAAAGCTTGCTTTGTTTTCTTTAGGGATGCCCAACTCATGTTAGCTTACCAAGTTGCCGTGTTTATATGCTTTCAATGCCTGTCATATGTTCGAGTGAAGTATTACGGTGTAAACAAACTGCTTGAGTATATGTGGCAGGCTCATTTATGTACATACTTTTAATTAAGATTTATTAGTAAGTAGTAAGGTTATATGGCCTTGTTACCATTTTAACTAATTAGTTTGTTACGATATTTACATTATAAGAATATATTATTAGTTATAATGTTAGTTATGTTTTATACCTTAGTATTTTATACCTTAAACATTCATTCCATAGCTCTGTAACATTAAGTAAGCTTACCCTCAGTCTAACTTCCACTAATTGTCACACTGCATGCTTTTGACTTACAACACTCTTTGCCCCAGCGCGCCCCGGCCCAGTCTATTGTCTTGTTGATAGGCCAAGCTGGCCATAGCTACAGCAATGTTTGTTGTTGAATTTTAGAAGATCAGTTGCTATTTGTTACCTCAAGGAAAGACCATAGACTCAGCGAGATTTATTGCCGATTTCTTATCATGTGAGGATTTGGATTTGTGAAAGGATTTATTCATATTTGAGGTTAGTTGGTTATTTATTTTATGATGTTGTATATATGGATGTTTTCTAATTATTGTGATTAGAAATAATATATATTGTAGAATGCATTCTTTATTTGATTTATTAGAAACATAATGCATCTTGTATATATTTATAGTGCTTGATGAACTTACAGTTCAGTGAGAAATTATTATCTGTATAAAACAGTATTAAACACAAAACCTAAATATATATATAAACTAAGTAATATAAACCCCTCTGGACAGTAATGGAAAGTAAATGTATGTCTGTATGCTTGATTTATGTTGGTAAGTGCGAATGTATGAGTGTTGTATGTCTGAAATGAGTGGATGTTGTACTATATATTTTTATACACAATTTTACCATAGGATATCACTTGTATATACTATTCTGCATTTGTATTTCTTTATTATGCAGATTTCTCAGTGGAAACATTTACCGTACAATCATTGTCACGGTATTACCAGTTCAGGTATCACCTATCTGGTATGTAATGTTCGTTATCACTCTATATCATATTTATATATTTTGTATCTGCGTATTGATGTATTGTACGGATACGTCTGATGTATTGTGTAATGTAAAGTAAATGCTATTCATTTTAATGGAAGTGATATATATATATATATATATATATTTTAGAAATTTAAAGAGT